AAATTTTTTCACGAAAACAGAAGCTTCCTCTATGAGGAAGCAATAGTCCTGATGTTGAGGAAGCAATGTGCAAATTTCCAATTTGCACCTTAAAAATTAAAAAAAATTGAATAGACAACTTGCCAAAATGCTAATGTTGCATTTTGCAAATTTCCAATTTGGTCCTTTAAAATTAAAAAAAGGCTACATGATGAGGAAGCAATGTGCAAATTTCCAATTTGCACCTTTCCCTCCCCCCCCCCCACGTTTTATTTTTTCATGTCATGGAGGAAAAATGCGTATACATAGGATATCCGATGTTATGTGGGCACTAACGTCGAATCGACGTCAATGGTGTCGGAACTGCTCAACCGCAAGTTTTCGAAAATAATTAAGTTGGGAACTTAATTTTGGTATTAAATGACTATTTCAACGTTCTGAATACTTTTATACTCACGTCTTAAGAAAAGCAGCAAAAGATCTATCATTTGTGCTCTAATTTGTATTAATATACTCCTTTCCGATGTGCCGCGTCCATGCATGTAGGTCTAACTAGACGTCTACAAATGTAAAGACTCAAGTTGGTTCTATCTTTACAGATAGAGATCCATACGAGACGAAACGAGTTCAATATCGATCTTCTTTGGTAAGATGCCTGTTGAATTCGAAAGTGTCAACAGGTCTGTAACGCGGGAGTCTGCGATCGGAAATGGAGAACCGTGTTCCGTCGATGGTGACATCGTCATCACGGGTATATCAGGTAATTGTTGGTCGCGAATGGCTGTATCGTTATGAGAGCGTAACGTACTGAAGAAATGAACGTTTTTCCAGGCCGGCTGCCCAAGTCGTCTAATATCGAAGAGTTTAAGGAGAATTTGCTGAAGGGAGTGGACATGGTCACTGATGACAAGCGTTGGTCAACGAACAGCTACGGGATACCGGGCAAGTCAGCCAGGATTAACAACATCGACCGCTTTGACACTTCTTTTTTCGGGGTACACCCCAAGCAAGCACACGTAATGGACCCACAGCTTCGCATATTGTTAGAAGTCGTATACGAGGCGATAGTTGACGCTGGCGTCAATCCTTCCACCATAAGAGGATCGCGTACAGGAGTGTTCATGGGTGTCACTTACACAGAAACGGAGGATTTATTGATTAAAAATGCAGATATCGCCACCGGTTCGTATTATGAAAAAACAATGCCGATTGTCTTCTCAATCAATTATTTTAAAGTCTGTCTACTTATAACAATAGGGCAAGATGGTGCAGACGTAGCGTTTTACAATTGATCGGTGTACACATTTTGCTGTTTATCAAATATATCTGCTACACCGCAAAAGAAATCACACGATATCTGCTGACAAGAAAAACTTGCATCTGCTTGCAGGATACGTAATGCTCGGGGGTGCGAAATCAATGTTCGCTAACAGAATCTCCTTCTCCTTCGATTTTAATGGGCCCAGCTACACGGTGGACACGGCTTGCTCCTCGTCCTTGTACTGCATGCATCAGGCAGTCGCCGCAATGCGCAACGGCGAGTGCGATGCTGCGATCGTCGGTGGAACGAATCTTATATTGACACTCGAGAGATCGCTTCAATGTTATAGACTGAATATGCTCTCCCAGGATGGCAAGTGCAAAGTGTTCGATGCATCGGGTGACGGTTACGTGAGGGCCGAGGCGGCAGTGGCAATATACCTGCAAAAAGCGACGGATGCGCGCAGGATGTATGCCACAGTGGTTCACACGAAGACAAACACCGATGGCTACAAATCTGAAGGTATCACGTATCCCAATCGTCACATGCAGAATCGATTGATGCGCGAGATTTACAGCGAGGCAGGAATTAATCCTTTAGACGTCAGCTACATAGAAGCCCATGGTACCGGCACCAAAGTAGGCGATCCAGAGGAAGTCAATTCTATCGACGCACTATTCTGTAAAGATAGAAAGACTCCTTTGCTGATCGGATCGGTCAAGTCCAACATGGGGCATTCGGAACCGGCAAGTGGATTGTGCTCGATAGCTAAAGTGCTGATCGCAATGGAAACGGGCGTGATACCCGCGAATTTGCACTTCAACACTCCGAATCCACACATTCGTGGCTTAAACGAGGGACGTATTCAAGTAGTCGACAAGGCCACATCGTGGAACGGTGGTCTCGTGGGCATCAACTCGTTCGGATTCGGAGGCGCAAATGCACACATCCTTCTGCGCAGCAATTCAAAACCAAAATTACCACCGCTATTAAGCGTCGCTGAACTCTTGCCCAAATTGGTCGCGGTTTCAGGTCGAACGGAAGAAGCTGCGCATACCATACTGGACAAAGCGAAAGAGCACCGTACAGATGAAGAGTTTCTTTCACTGTTACACGCAATACACAATAACAATATTCGCGGTCACAAGATTCGTGGTTACGAGATACTCGGCGGAGATAGTATGCGTGAAGTCACCGAGGTAGCGAGCTACAACGAGAGACGCCCGATTTGGTTCGTATTTTCCAGCATGGGCACGCAATGGCCAGGCATGGGTCGTCAGTTGTTCGGCATTGAAACTTTTCAACGCAGTTTGCAGCGATGCGCTGATGCATTGACGCCCCACGGCATCGACCTCATGAATATTATCGCGAATGCCACGGACGAAACGTACGAGAACGTGTTGTATCCCTTCGTGACTATTACAGCTATACAAGTTGCCCTAGTGGACATCTTAACGTTGATCGGCGTACATCCGGATGGTACAATTGGACACTCCTTTGGAGAGCTGGGTTGTGCTTATGCTGACGGCGCATTTACGCTGGAACAGACCGTTCTGGCAGCTTACTGTAGAGGCAAAGCGATTGTAGATTCCATGTTGGAGCCGGGTGCCATGGCAGCAGTTGGTTTGAGCTGGGAGGAGGCCAAAAAGATGTGCCCGCCCGATATCGTTCCAGCTTGTCACAACGCCGCCAACTCTGTCACTATTTCCGGTCCGATTGACTCCATGCACAAGTTCGTACAAATGCTGAGGAGCAAAGATATCTTCGTCAGAATGGTAAAAAGTCCCGGCTTCGCTTTCCACAGTAAATATATCGCCTCGGCCGGGCCCAAATTACGCGCGTCACTCGAGAAGATCATACCGAGTCCGAAGCAGAGATCAG